TCAAGTGTTTCTTTTAAATAAGTCTAGAATCTATTGTTTTGTTTTAAAGTAGCTGTATGTAAGATTGTGGCCAAAAATGGTACTGCAATCACTTTCAAATTACTGTAGAGCGGTGCATCCCCTCCCCCCTGACTCGAGGTTGCCAGATAGGCTGCAGGATCCAGCAGGAACATAGGCTGCTACAAGGAGCTTTCAACTAGAGCAGAGCTGGCAACCCGGATGCCGAAACACTACTGACTTCGTGATTGGTAGATAGGTGGAGGGTGGGGCTTCAGGCCAAAACACAAGATGACAACATCAACATCAGTTGAGGGCTGCAACTTTACTTTTTAAATGACAATATCGTGGCCGTACTACTGTTGTCAGTGATATAAGTATTTGAAATGAACATGATTTCTTAATATCTAGAGACACATCAGGGCCATTTTATGATTAATTGAAATACATTTCTTACATACAGCTCCTTTAAGCTGAAAATGAACTTCCCTGTACTTAAAACAAAGCTGCACACAGAAGCATAAAAATGAAGCATGATGAGCTCTAAAAAGGTACTGTCAACCTGAGGATGTAAAAATCTGACCGTGAACAATTTACAGGTCCAAAACCCTGACTAAAAAATATTTATACACAATTATTTGCCATGGATATTCCCTTGATGTGTTAATTAATTTTTACCAAGCCAGATTAAATGAGATCTAAATGTGAATCAATCTGGAGTTTAAGCATTAACTTTACTACTGGCATCTGAATGGTTATACTAGTAACAGGTGGAGGTTGAACCAACTCCAGGGTAAGGCTAAGAAGATCTGCTTCCCCTTTAAAAACACATTTAAATAGATTTCCTTGAAATGGTTTCAGGTTACGTGTCACTGCACAACCTACACATCCCAGCTTCAGATAAATGATCTGTTATTAAAGCGTCTATGTTCACAAACCACTGTTAAATTTAACGGGAAAAAGCATATTGGTGGTTGAGGAGATTCCCCCTTCCATGTAAAGTGCTTTGAGTACCCAGAAAAGCGCTATATAAATGTAACTAATTATTAATTATTAATAATAATTGTCTTATACGATATATGTCTTAATTGTCATGTCTTATACGAGTCATGCTGCTATTGGGCCAATTTAAGTATGCTACAAAAGAGCATTGAAAATATTAGATAAGAAACCTTCGTCATATCATCATTGTAATATTCTAGATAAATATAAGTTTTTAAATTTTGCGAATTTCAAATTATTTAAATCAGCCTGTCTAATCTATAAGGTTATACATGGTCTGGCGCCTCCACCATTAAGTGATTTTATTAAACAAAAGTCTATCAGTGCTGTCGGGTCTCGAGTGACTAGAGCCACTATGAGAGGTGACTGTGACTTGGCGTTTAGGCGGACCGCCTTTTCACAGAACGCTCTATCATATCAGGGGGTGAGCTCCTGGAATAGTATTCCTCAATCAGTGAGGGAAAGCACAAGTTTTCCTATTTTTAGGAGTCGTTTAAAAGTATGGTTGAGGGACACACAAATATGTGAGCATGTTTAGTAATCATAAGTTTATATATCAGATGTAAAATAGAGTTAGTGTGTTATAAATATAAAGGGGATAGAATTATTAGTGTGATATGGGTTGTGTAATAGGAGTTAGTATAGCATGGGTTGTGTAAAAAGGGTCTGTGTAATTTGGCTTGTCCTAATATGTTGTGATCACTGTTACTGTCCTTGCTTCTCTGTATATAGCCTGTGCATAGTGTGTCTGTATGTATTTATGTGTAACATCTACCTGCTTAGGGGTCTGCAGATGGAAATTAGCCTATGGCTATAATATGGCATATTTACATTTGTGAAAAATGTTCATTAATATGTATTGTCCCTTTTGTCTTTTTTCTACAAATAAATAATAATAAATAATAATTATTATATTGTATGCAGGGTTTGACATGGCGCAAAGAGCGCTCCCTTGGTAAGCACTAAAAAACCTTCTCATTTTTGTCATCGCAATCTCACAAAGTTATGTTATAATCAATGAAGCTTACTGTACAATATTTTTTTTTATTTACATAATTGTTTAGGAGATGATTTTTGAATATGCAGAACTCAGAATCCACTTACTGCTCAAAACGCCGCAGTTTTTGTTCAGTGCTAACAGCATAAGTAGTGAATTTATGTTTTTTTAAAACAGAGTTCTGATGTATAGTTCTGATATAACAAAAGCTGAAAGTTACTAAAAATACATTTGTAGCCTTAATTGGCAGACATGATATGACTGGACATGGTCAGATTCAAGGTACTTTGTATTATTTATTAAGCAAAGCAAATCAAATCATTCTAAAACCCTTAAATGTTGTTTGAATAATATTCAAAGCAGCCAATTAGTGTGGATTTCACAATGGGTATGCCTCAATCATATTCAAATCAAATGCAAAGTTTAAGATGTTTTATAAAAAAAGAATCCATTCATTTGGAACTATGCCTATATTTACAGTCAACAGTCAATATTGCTGTCTTGAACTATTTTTAATAATTTAAACATTTCAATCAACATACAAAAATGTATGATTGATTGAACAATGTTTTTTTTTAGGAAGGACAAAAGTCAAATGTCTACATCTCAGAAATAGGTGCATGTTAAATAACATATTTGGAGTAGGCCTATGTGAAATCTTCACCTTTCTGGGACAAAAACAGACACATTTACATTTAGTACAGTAGTTGTAGTAATACTTTACAATTAGATTATGCATTACTTTATCCATTAACAAAACAACACACCACAATAATAGTTAAGTAGCTGAGGTCTCTACTGTTGAGCTGGCTCTTTGTAATTTTAAGTTTTCAGTGGTTGTTACATGGAAATCTGGTTATTAAATCAGACCTTAATGAGCCTAAAGACAAAAACTTCCAGGCCTATTCTCAAAAAGGTTACATAATATTTTCTAAGCTTAAGAAAACAGATTAAAAAAAAAAGTTTGTCAAGACAAACTTGATGTCAGCTTGAGAAAGCCTAACCAGAAAGTTTGAAGAGATTTTACGTGTAACAGGTATAGCTCAGCATCGGTTTTTCATTAGGTAAGACTGCATTTTTGTTCATGGGAAATTATACTCATTGGTTTTTATTACTCAACAGGAGATGAAGTAGACAAACAGTGTGGACGGACCTGATTGATGGTTGACTACTACATGCATATGCCTTCATTATATGGAGGTGGGCCATAGACTGGGTATATTTACCATTTGGTAAATTTATTCTTGAAAACACAGACAAGATTGGTACCATGAGGCGGAACACAACAACAATTTCAGGTGTAATAGTTGAGGTATATGCAGGTAAGTGTCAAACGTTTTAATCTTTACTGTAAATGGAACTATACTCTCTCCCTCTATATATAATTAATTTAAGTGCATGGAAGGATAGAGTATGTGGGCAGATGCATTAGTCATTGCACTCTTCTTAAGTTTCTTTTCAAGAATATGTTCTATTACATATGGATCACTTGCACACAAATACAGATTTGCAATACCTTTTGCCATACATGAATTTTCTCATGCATTTTTCATTAATGCCACCTCAAATTTGTCTCATAGGTTTCAAGATTTTATTTTTGTCATTGTAACTGCATACTTTTGTGCTAATGTAACTGCACTTGATCACACAGATCCACATGCAGTACATACACATTGAGAAGAGATGTCACGAGGCAAAAGATCCTACAGATTCTTTGTAAATAGACAGAAAAAAGCTGCTTCAGCATAACTGATTTTAAGAGATTTTAAGATCTATAATTTAAGAGCTGGGATCATGAGGGATTAGTGGTCAAATTAAAGACTGGATGCAAAGTTACTTACTTAGTAAAGCAAATCAACAAATAGATTCAAGATGTAATTTGAATATTACTCAAAGCAGCACAATGCATGAACTGCATGACACGGGCATCACTTCATTTCAGCCAGGCCAGTTGCACCAAAGCCTAAAATTAAATCTGTTCATCATATAAAGCGATCATACGGAGCCCCTAAAGGGACATGGGTGGTGGGAAAAATAAAGATAAAGAAAAATGTCAATGATTTTCATTCTCTCGCAAGGTCAAGGTCAAGTTTATTTCTATAGCACCTTAAAACAACACGAATGTTGACCAAAGTGCTTCACAATCTAAGTACAGCTGCACATACAGATAGCATAACATTAAAAAAAATTCAAACCAAAAAACATATAAAAAAGGTTATAGAATTTTTTTTATATATATATATATATATATACAGTATATATATATATATATATATATATATATATATATATATATATATAAAACCTAGTAACAACATTAAAATAGACAACTCACATGATCTTTACAGAAATACATACAGCATTTAGATGCATTTTAGTATGCTGTGCAAAAAGGTATGTTTTAATCAATGTTTTAAAAATGTTTAATGTAGGGGAAACTCTGATTGATAATGGAAGAGTATTCCATAATTTTGGGCGCATAAACTGAGAAAGGCAGGTTTAGGCGGGTTTTTGGGAAAATTAATAGTAACTTAGATGATGATCTAAGTGATCTCTGAGGAGAATATGAGCTTAAACGTTCGGATGTATAAATCGGGGCCAATCCGTTTAAAGCTTTGAACACATAAGTTAAAACCTTGAAATCAATCCTCTGTTTCACGGGTAGCCAGTGGAGAGAGGCCCGTAGTGTAAATCCTTTGCGTTCCCCCGAGAAACTGCGTTTTTTTTTTTTTTCATCATGCCCCTTTAGGGGCTTCGTATGATCGTGTCTCTTCAGAAAATTTGGACAGGTTAGCTGGATTCATATGGATTAATTTTACGATCTCTTTATGAACCTTTTGAAGCTTCAATATGGTAGTTCTGTGGACTGTCAATGGAGGGACAGAAATCTCAGATTTGATTAAAAATATCCTCATTTTTGTTTCAAACATTAATAACTTGCATTTGCTTTTTGATGTCATGCTAAAGAAAGTAAAAAGGTGTGTTGAAGTCAGTCGGTGGGAGGAACCAGAGCCAAACAGATTTAACCACTTTAAACCTCAATCACAACTCTACTTCCTAACACGGAGTAGGAGGGAACCTGGGAGTGACATTTAACTAGTCATGCATTGTTTTTTTTGACTTGCCAGTTTAGAAACAGAACAACAAAAAGCAGGTGTGATGATTGCAGAGTGTATGTGAATATCAAAACTGGTTCATGTTATTTTGTGTTTATTTTTTTATTTTCTATTTTTAGAATTCATTTGTTGAAGTTGAGGACTGTTCATCAACAATGTCAGGCTCCGTGTGGCTCATTCCATTTCTGAGTAAGTAGTAACACTAACACAAACAAGCACGGTCACAACTTTTTTAGGGACAGGGTTAGTATTTTTAACATTTTGTACTTTTTTCTGTTGCATGAAGTTCTAGGCAAAACCATTTCAAGTACGTCTGAATCAATCAGACTGGTAAATGGCAACAGCTCCTGTTCTGGACGAGTGGAGGTTTTCTATAACAGTCAGTGGGGAACAGTGTGTGATGATGGCTGGGATCTGTCAGATGCTGCAGTGGTGTGTAGAGAACTGGGCTGTGGGGATGCTGTAGAGGCAAAGAGTGCTGCTTATTTCGGACATGGTTGGGAAAAAGTATCTATGAGTGGTGTGACGTGTTTTGGAAATGAGTCTACGCTGAGCATTTGTGGATTTAAGAAAGAGGGACAGTTTAACTGTGACCATTCAAAGGATGCTGGAGTCATCTGTCATTGTAAGTTCACTGCAAAAAACTATTGTCTAGTTTCTCAGTAAAATATCTAAACATTCTTAAATCAAGATACATTTATTCAAAAAGCAAAATGACACAAGATATAAAGTCTTGTTTTCTGAAAAGATAATAAATTATGGTTAAAACCGTGCAAATATCTGCCAATGGGGTCAGGAAAATAAAACCTGTTCTCCCTTTGAATTGAGTTTTTTTTTTAAGTTCTTGTTTTAAGTGTAAACTCAGCAATACCTTAAGTAATTGAGTCTTCATTTAAGAATTTTTAGATATTTGTACTGTGAAACAATTTAAAAATACTAATCGCTGTTTCTAATATTTATGTTGTGTGCATTTAAATGCATCAATATATATTCTGACTGCTCTTTGTGGAAATTAGCCCTCGTCAGATTGGTGAATGGCAGTCACTCCTGTTCTGGGCGAGTGGAGGTTCTCCATGACGGTCAGTGGGGAACAGTGTGTAATGATGGCTGGGATCTGTCAGATGCTGCAGTGGTGTGTAGAGAAATGGGCTGTGGCGAAGTTTTCGAGCAAAGGAGCGGTGGTTATTTTGGCCAGGGACCAGGGCCAGTATGGCAAAGTGATGTGCAGTGTTCCAACACTGAATCGACACTGAGACACTGCAGTTTAAAGGAATGGGGACAAAACTCATGTGGACATGAGAAGGATGCTGGAGTTGCCTGTCACCGTGAGTACAAAATCTTTTATGTATGTGCTTTAATTTATGGTTAAATTAATAGTTTTGCTGTCAATCATACATTTGAGACAAAACTACCAACATAATCCCAGTGGATGGGGTTTGGTCCATTTACATTATAGAAATTTGATTGTAAATAATCCATAATATTTTATTAACAACATGACTTATCTGTGCATGAATCTGAGAAAGCGCATCAGATATAATTCACTGACAACAGCTCTCATGACATTATTCAGGCAAAATTAAGTTTTCAGATGGCATCAACGCTTGTTCTGGAAGAGTGGATATTTTCTACTATTATTATGTGAGAAACATTGTGTGGGGAACAGTGTCGGATAATGGCTGGGATCTGTCAGATGCTGCAGTGGTATGTAGAGAGATGGGATGTGGGGATGCTGTAGAGGCAAAAAGTGCTGCCTATTTCGGACAAGGCTATGGACCAGTATGGTTGGATGATGTCAACTGCATTGGAAATGAGGCCACACTCGGTACCTGTGAGTTAAAAAAAATACAAGCGTACACTTCGCATTCAAAGGATGCTGGAGTCATCTGTCAGGGTAAGTCAATTTAATGAAATCAACAGCTTTGTATGTTCCTTCCATTGCCATGCATGTAAGACCATGAGATTATGAATTGAAGAGAAAATATTGTCACTGTAAAGTGAGTAAAAAAACATCATGTCTGAATCTACTGGGTAAACTATCCAAATATGTTTGCTTGTTTGTTTTCATTTACTCTGTCTGGCCTTTAGCTCTTATTAAGCTGGTGAATGGCACTAACACTTGTTCTGGGAGAGTGGAGGTTTTCTTTGATGGCCGATGGGGAACAGTGTGTGATGATGGCTGGGATCTGTCAGATGCTGCAGTGGTGTGTAAAGAATTGGGCTGTGTAGATGTTATAGAGGCAAAGAGTGCTGCTTATTTTGGACAAGGATCAGGACCAGTATGGCTAAGTGGGTTAAAGTGCGCCACTGACTCTACACTGAGAAACTGTAATTCACAGGGATGGGGGCAAAACACTTGTGGACATGAGAAGGATGCTGGAGTCGCATGTCAGCGTGAGTACAAAACCTTGTACACAAAATAAACATTATCTTAATCTAAGCATGTAAACTTTGAGTCATCATATTTGATCCACTTATAACTCTTGTTTTTGTGGGCATTAGCTAACATTAGACTGGCTAATGGCAGAACCTCTTGTTCTGGACGAGTGGAGGTTTTCAATAATGGTCAGTGGGGAACAGTGTGTGATGATGGCTGGGATCTGTCAGATGCTGCAGTGGTGTGTAGAGAGGTGGGATGTGGGGATGCTGTAGAGGCAAAGAGTGCTGCTTATTTTGGACAAGGATCAGGACAGATATTTATGGGCAATGTAAACTGTGTTGGAAATGAGGCTACACTAAGCATCTGTGAATCGCGTAAATATGGAATGTATGACCATTCCAAGGATGCAGGAGTCATCTGTAACTGTAAGTAAAATCCACTGCTTTTCTAACTTTTTACAGTCATTGTTATTTATGTAAAAAAGAGTTTATAGCAGCCCGGTGTGGGACTGAACTGAAAATTAAATACAGTCAATTATTAGTCATTGTAAAGGGAGAAAACATAAAATATAAACTAAATATGTATTTAATTAATTCACATGTTTCTTTTGCTTTAATTTATGTGACATTTAGCTAATGTCAGGCTGATTAATGGAAGTAACTCCTGTTCTGGAAGAGTGGAGGTTCAATATAATGGAATATGGGGAACAGTGTGTGATGATGGCTGGGATCTGTCAGATGCTGCAGTGGTGTGTAAAGAGATGGGCTGTGGAGATGTTATAGAGGCAAAGAGAGCTGCTTATTTTGGACAGGGATCAGGACCAGTATGGCTAAGTGGGTTACAGTGCGCCACTGACTCTACACTGAGAAACTGTAATTCACAGGGATGGGGGAAAAACACTTGTGGACATGAGAAGGATGCTGGAGTCGCATGTCAGCGTGAGTACAAAACCTTGTACACAAAATAAACATGATCTTAATCTAAGCATGTAAACTTTGAGTCATCATATTTGATCCACTTATAACTCTTGTTTTTGTGGGCATTAGCTAACATTAGACTGGCTAATGGCAGAACCTCTTGTTCTGGACGAGTGGAGGTTCTCTATAATGGAATATGGGGAACAGTGTGTGATGATGGCTGGGATCTGTCAGATGCTGCAGTGGTGTGTAGAGAACTGGGCTGTGGAGCAGTTTTGGAAGTAAAGACTTCTGCTTATTATGGAAAGGGTTCAGGAACAGTATGGATGAATAATGTAAACTGTTTTGGGAATGAGTCTACATTGATGAGCTGTTCATATAACAGAAGTCCAACCAGCTGTGCCCAGAAAGATGCCGGTGTCATTTGTGGATGTGAGTGCCAATTTTTTAATGTCAGCGAGTGATATAATGGACCCTTTTCACAAACTGTGACGATGCATTTCCGTAAGTCTAGCACTTTCGTAAGTTTTTTTTTTTATGGTTTCATTTTTATAGTCACCATGAAATCAAAATGGAAAATTCTTATTTTTATGAAATATTGCAGTATTTTCTTTTTTAATGCTTGTACCCTCGTATTTGAATCAAAATAACTTCCCCTCCCTCTTGCAGCGATATCTCTTCTCTTCTCTGATGATGTGCTTACTGGCGTGAGGGCGGGACAACCTGTCACTCACATGATATCCACCAATAGCAAACCACAATGATCCAACCATCCAATCAGTTCAAAATCAAGTCTCGCCATACATTTTTTTTTTTTTTTGTTAGAGAAGCCGGATATACGTCACAATAGGGAAGAAAAGACTATCACAAATTCCACTTCATGTCGACTTTAAAACATTTAAAGTAGGCTACATGTAGGCATACATTACAGCACTATACTGTTTTATTACCTTGGCATTAAATTAGAGAAAACTGGTTAACGTACTTCGTGACTGTTTCTGACACAACGCCGGCTAAGGCAAATTTGACATCTTTCTCCCGTCTGACTGACGTAATCAATTTTTCTTTTGCTACTGAGACAAATGGGAATGCAAAAATTATATTTGTTGTAGTTTCCGTTCACCAGACGTTAAACCAACTATGAAGACTTCAATGTCTGAGAACCCTGGAAATGTGAAAATGGTCCATTGAGCACAACAATGATTTGAGCAAGAATTTTTTTTTTTTTACTTTCTCACATTCACTCAGATATTAAAGTCCTGTTGAGGATTAAAGTGAAGGCTGAACTTGGAATCGACCCAAATGATTCTGGAGTCATAAATAAACTTTCAGAGGAGGTGAGAGCAGTGCTGCATCCTTCACTACTTTTTGCTGTCATCTACTGTCTGCTCATGGTACTGTTGGCTCTTTGTATTTACCTTCATTTGGATCTCATAGATGAAGAAGCTGGGAATAAATGGAACTTTGAAAACTCAGGCAGATGGAAAAGTCTTAAAAAAGACAAAATGAATTGCACCCTGACATTTTGGTAAGACTTTAATTTTGAATTTAATATTTTCCACAATAAAAATTTACAATGATGTTGGTTTTTCAGGTCATTGCTGGTATGCAGAGAAGAAAACAAGGATAATCTAATAGGAAATTGAATGCTACAATCTTTTATACTTCATATACAATATATATATATATATATACTTCTATACAATCTGACCTTTTATAAATATTATTAATAATTATCTTATGTAAGTTTTTCATACATGGCAGTGCTTCATATAATATCCCTGCAATTTTTGCTTTCCTAATGACAATACATATTTGTGTTTAGATTCTAAGAAACTATCTTTGTGTCATATCCTAACTCGCTAACCAACATTTACATGTAATATATACAGTAATCTTGATGTATCCAATATTGTACATATATGAACCTGTCTGGACTTTTATAATTGCACAAATGCTATTAGTCTAGTTAACAATAATTAAATTTGATTTAATTCCATTCTATTTAATTTAAAACACGAATTAGATTCAGACCATTGTAGAGTTACAAACCAAATAATTTGCCAAATAATACAAACCAAATAATTTGCCTTGGTTTTTTGACTCTGAAGAAGACGCATGGGCGTCGAAACGTTGGTCATTTTGCACTAATAAATATATTAAAACGTTCTGTGCTCCGGTCCTGCTCCTTGGTCCTAGTTAGACCTTGGGTCCTTTTTCTCAGATTGTTGTGTCCTGTTCCGAGAGCACGGGCTAGGCTGAGGCGCAAGTGATTCCTTTCTACTAATTTGCCTTGGTTATCAGGGTGAAAATTTCCTAGTGATTGTCCGTCTTGTGACTGTTGCCATGGTACTCGGTATCATGTTACCATATTTAGGTAATTATTCCGGTTGCTTTGTTTTTGAAACAATAATCTTTCCACCCATGTCATGATAGCACTGTTGAGAAGCATCAAGGCTTGATGAGCTGGTGTCTCATTTGTCATAACACACAAAAGTATTTTCAGGATACTAGGCTATATTTTCAGACTGCAAGCAAATCAGATTTTTTCAAACTCAGATATTTTCAGGCAGACTGCCTGCACTATTAATTGCAAGTGATCGAATAAGATTTGTGTGTCCAAACATAACCAACCTATCTGCATGGGTTGCTTTGGAAATGATGTAGGCGTACCCATGTATGTGACAAGGCTTTCAAAACGGATGCAGGAAAAATGGTGCATCATCTCGCTCTCCAAATAAGCGCCCTGTCGAGTTGCTGTGCAGAACTCATCCGTCACACAGGAAAATGCAGAAATCTTTTGGACAAACCACTTGAACACTGTATGAATATTTTTGGCATTTCCATCACAGGTTTTGATGTTATCATTGTGTGTCACGTTAAGAGTGATGCAAAAAACAGTTTGGCTACGCAAATCAGAATTCAGAGCATTATTCCAGACGCATCTGACTGGAATCGCATTTCCAACCACCGGATTAAAAAAAACAAAAAACTATTTAATTTGTTTTTTGCTGTCCAGACTTTCAAAACCCCATCTGGATATGCCAAAAAATCAGGGCCCGTATTCATAAAGAATCTTAATGCAAAGAGTAGCTCCTAGTGTCAAAATTCTAAGAAAAGAAAGTTTACTCTTAAAATTAAAGAAAAAATCCTAGTAAAGAAAAAAGTAATTCAGAAAGCATCTTAACCCTTAAAAGAGGTCTTAAAGGGGTCATATAATGTAATTTTTGTACAAGCTAGTATGATTCTTTAGGGTCTAAATTAAAAGTTTGTAATATACTTTAATTAAAAATTCTCATTAGTATTGTAAGAAAACACTTATTTTACTTGGTCAAAAATAGCTCTGTTTTCAGCACGCCTTTTCAGTGCATATGACTTTAAATGATAATGAGCTTTGCTGACTCCGCCTCTCTGTTCTGTGCGTACACCGTTTGTAACACAATAACCATAACGCGTTGTTCAGTATAAACGTGGGATTATGAATTATATTGAGAACATCATACATAGAAAACATGCCGAAATGTACCCTAAGTGTAAACTTAGACGCATTCATTGTGAAGCGTGCAGCTAGCGATTTGCAAAGATTAATATAAATATTAATATAAAGTTTAATAAAACGTTACACTCACTTCAGTTGTTCTAGAGGTTCAGCAGGAACACGAATAGTTGGTACCGGTCCTTTTTTCATGAGCAGCTTCTTAGCAAAACCAGCTTTATACTGATCCTCATTTATAAAGCAGTCTGGTGAGAAATGATTCGCGCAAACATGAGAGCATTGACGTTGCTCGTGGGGAATATTCCCTTCGAAAACAAACTCAGCCACTGCGTCTTCAGCGGTTCGGATTTAGGAACATTAAAATGACTGCTGTGTTCGTTATTACACCCAAGAACAGAACACCACAATCGCTTAGACGCCATTCTGCTCATAGACAGTGCTCCAGCATATCAACAATGACCGCGCCATTGACAGCTCTCACGAGCGAGGGCGGGTCTGTGTTGAAACGATGCTGTCAATCAACAATCGTGGGAGGGGCTTCCGAGCGTGTGACGTCACAAAATCGAACGGCTCAATTTGAGGCAGGGGAAAACATATAAGGAGATTAAAACAAAAACACTGGATGGATTTTTATCATTTTATGATGTTTGTGTACAGGCACTGCCAACACACATTTCAGTACAATCAACTTGTAAAAGTGCATGTACCATTATATGACCCCTTTAAGGTCAAAATTGTTAGGAGTATGGATGAGGACTTATAAGAGGCTTAAGAGTTTCTTTAGCGGAGGAGAAAATGACAGAACGATGAAGAGGGAGAAGAAATGTGATGCAGACAATAGATGACAGTGAGTTAATAAGACGCTATAGATGAGATTGTGCAGGGATCATGTTTGTGACTGATCTTATTAGAGACACGCTAATATCTCCGACACAGCGCAGGAATGCCATAACGCCAGAAATGAAAGTAATCACTACATTAAAATATTTGGCAAATGGGAAAATGCAATAAAGCAGCAGTGATTTGGGTCTGTCACAAACTTCTGTAAGCAGTGATCACACAAACATTACAGCACTTTCAGAACCTCTTATTGTGTCGCAGTTCATTTAGTTCCCTTTCGTTGTCACTCCGAGTTCCGTCGGATGACGACGAATGGGGTTTCGCTTAGAAAGCCAATCGACTTCGAGTACTACAAAACGAGCCAATGGCAAAGAAATGCCATGGGTCTGCGGAATTTGCATAGCGTAACTCCGCCTCACCTCGTGGGTATTTAAGGAGCACGCTGGCAGCAAACCGGCATGTTTTCGCTTCGGAGCCAAGGTGATCCTTCGTTCCACAAGCCATTCCTGTACTGTCAGTTCTGCAGACGAGCGAGATTCTCTGGTGTTGGTGTGACGGCGATCTCCGGCGAGGACGCGCTTCCTGCTTTTCTGTCCGTGATTCGACAGCGAGTGTGTTTCTCCCCGGGCGCTTCAACACAGTCAGAGTTTCTGTTCTCACAAAAGAGCTTGCACGCGGCACGTCTTTTTAAAGATGCCTCGCCCGTGCACTTCTGGTTGCGGTAGACTCGTTGATGACTCTGATGGGCACGAGTGGTGCATAGTGTGTTTGGGCATTGATCACGCTAGAGCAGCACTCGTGGATGATTCATGTTCTCTCTGTGGGAACATGACCATCGCAGCATTACGATCAAGACTCGGTGATCTCGCAAGAGTGAGGGTCCCCTCATCCACACCCCGATCTACTGACTCTAGAAATAGAGCTAGTACTTCGGCTGGTGGCCAGGGTGATCTGAGGATGACGGTTTGGAACAAAGCGCCGACTATCAGTCCGTGCCCAGCCGCATCCTCTCCAGTGCTGCAACCCGTGAGTGCTCGGGGGATTCCGGCGGGATCATCTTCGGGTGTCCCGCGGGTTTCCTTTGACGCTCCAGAGGGAGAAGCGATGTCTATCGCAGCATCACAAGGTGGGTCTGAGTCTTCTGGAAGTGAAGACTCATCACAGCTGCCACCTTCGGGTGTGAATACAGTTGTGCCAGAGTCTGATCCAGAGATGACGGCCATGCTGTCTCGAGCCGCCGCGAGCATCGGGTTAGAGTGGAACCCTCCGCCCTGTCCCGAGCGCTCGCGGCTGGATGATTGGTATTTGGGTCAGGCTGCGGACCCCCGTCCGCGTCAGGCCCCGATACCTTTCTTCCCGGACGTGCATGATGAGATCTCGAAGTCCTGGAAGACTCCCATGTCTTCCTGTGACCGCTCGCTGATTTCATCCGCCTTTCCTCCCCTCGATGAGGCCGCTGCCCGTGGGTACACTGGGCTCCCCCCGGTTGAGCGCTCTGTTGCGATGCAACTGTGTCCTCAGAGCGCTTCTTCTCGTGGTGAGCCTAAGCACCCATCCAAAGCCTGTAGGTACTCGTCTGCGTTAGTGGCGAAGTCCTACAGAGCTGCGGGACAGGCAGCTGCCTCGTTGCATGCCATGGCCATTCTGCAGGTCTACCAGGCCCAGATGCTCAGGGACATGCATGAGGGCAGGACAGACCCGGGGCTCTTCAATGAGCTGCGCGCCGCCACCGACCTTGCTCTCCGAGCGACGAAGGTGACCGCGCGCTCCCTGGGTTTGGTGATGTCCACAGCCGTGGTCCAGGAGAGACACCTCTGGCTTAATCTTGCTGATGTGAGGGATGCCGAGCGGTCCCGGCTGCTCGACACCCCCATATCGCAAGATGGCCTTTTCGGCGGTGCAGTCGAGGATTTTGCCAAACAGTTCTCGACTGCCCAGAAACAGACTGAGGCGATCAAGCACATTCTGCCCCGACGGCCCGCTGCTGCCTCCACTCAGCCGACCGGGCAGAATACTCAGTCTGTTCGCCGCCGAGGGCGCCCTCCTACGGTTCCCACCCCTCCCGCCCGGCCCAAGCAGCAGCCTTCACCCGGGCCCGGTCGCGGAGGAGGCCGTAGGAAGGCGCCCCAGCCCTCTCTAGTCCCGCCCCCCGCTAAACGCCGGGTCAAGCGGCGCTCCTGAGACGGGCTGCTCAGGGATGATGTACACTTCTCAGGAGATGGTAGCAGGACCACTCCTTCCCCCGGTGGAGGGCCGGGGGAGAATCTTGAGAGAAGTGACACATTCATCCCTGAGCACACAGAGTTCTTGGACGACACGGTGCGCCGCCCCCGAGCCGTGCACCCCTCGTCCTCCTCTGTCCCAGAGCCGGATGACAGTGCGCGCCGTCCCCGGACCGTGCCGCTCTCATCCCCCTCTGTCGCCAGACCCCTGGCAGAGCAGACCCCCGTGGAACGTTCGTCCTTCCCTGGTCTCCTCTGTCAGGGCGCGGTTCATGACTGCACCCCCACATCGGGCCGCTATGCCGTCCACGTCTGGGTCAGTCATACCGCCTCGCTGCCCCACCGACGGGAAGTCTGTGGTTCGCATGACCCCGCTGGTTCAGTCCTTGGGAGCCTGGCTAGAGCTTCCCAACCTGTCCCGCTGGGTCGCACGAACGATCAGGCTCGGCTACGCGATTCAGTTCGCGCGGTCT